TAACAAATATATATATACACACATACATAAAAATATATTCCGTATGTGATCTATTCATCATGGCAGTGGGGAAAACATCTCATCAGAAAATGTAACGCTTCGCGTCGGGCGGTTCTTTGCCTCCACATCATGCATTAAAATCCTTTAATGCACGGCTAGCTGTTGATTATCCCGCTTATTCCATTCATTCCATTCAGTCATTTGCCAAGTTATAGACAAGTAAAAACTAGTATTGCTCTTTGCAACACAATATTTGACCGAATGGGTAAAAATGAGTTATTTTCGTCAGTTACGGCATGTTAGCGCTAGCATTCTGCCCGCTTCAAATCAGACACAAAGATGAAATAGTGCGGTAAGGCCACATTTATTTGAATGAATTATAGCATGTATTTCAATTAATTATCGATCGATCGTTTGAGAGAGAGAGAGAGAGAGAGAGAGAGAGAGAGAGATGACAGTTGTGTGTACCTGCGTGCTATACTCTCTGTACAAGCAATTACTTCAAAAACAGCGATTTTACCAGCTCGTTGCTGGGGAATATAATGTAGCGATCTAGTATCTAGGCTATTTTATTAATGAAAATCAAGGGGAAGCGTTGACAACAAGTTTGTTTGTGTGTACAGCGCAGTCAGCAATCTCTGACCTCTCTCTCTCTCTCGCTCTCTCTGTGTGTGTGTGTGTGCTGGTTAGTGTGCATCTGTTAAAGAAGCGCATTAATATAGAACGGTGATTAAACTGACTTGGAACTACCTGTGCATTAAACGGTTTTACTGCATACCTGCCAGCCAATCAGAATCCAGTATTCAGACAGACCATGGAATAAAAACTTATATTGAACAGCTGGGATGTTCAGTTCTATTTTTCATCTAATGCTGTGCATTTTCCAGAACATTCTAAGTGCGTGCTGGGAAGGTGATTCTGTCAGGTTTAATGCAGATGTGTGTGTGTGTGTCAGATGTAAAATTCCAGCTTCACCGTGTCCTGTCATGTATGACGACTGCCTAGCCAGATGGACATGTTTCACATACAGTGGTACCCCTTAAGACCACTCATATACTTACTGCTGATGGACAACACACACACTGACACTTGACATAGATGAGTGATGTAGGATCTGTCTCACAACAGACCCACCTACATGATGGAGACACACACATCAAACCCGCACATTCCATGGAGGGTTTTTGAGGTTCGTCTCCCCAGCCATCTGCAGTCGTAAAACTCATGCAGGATCAAGTAAGGTGAAGCATTCCCTGGACTGTTTGGCTATATCTCAAGATAAGCTAAAAAGGACAGTACTTTAACGGTGCTTAAAATTGTTTTACGGGCTTGCAAAGAGCAGATAGAAATACCCTCATGACCAGTGGACGCATAAATTGCTAACATTACAATGAAAGACCTTAAAGGACTCCTGAGGCTCTTAGGCAGTTGTGCCTCTGTTTATTTGTGCGTCAAAACTCAAACTCATCTCAATAAAAATCACAGAAGACAGATAAGAAAAATGCCACATACCCGCCGAGAGGAGAGGAGAGATGAGATTAAAAGATAGCTGATCATTGACTTATGTGAGTAAAAATAACTAATCACTGAAGAGTTTGAGGACGGGGATAACAGAAGGTTGAAAGTAATTAGAGGGATGAAGAAGAAGAATGATAGGATTGAGAAATATAGTTAAAGTGATAGTTCTGTAAATTCTGTCCTTACGCAATTTTTCAGAATGATTTTTCTTCCAGGGAAGACGACTTTTTGCAAAATGTCTACGAATGCCTATGTTTAGGGTAAGTAAGATTTTTAATTGTTTTTGAAAAAAGCCTCTTATGCTCACCAAGGCTACATTTATTTGATAAAAAAAAGGGTAAAACAAAACAGTAATAGTGTGAAATTTGAGCACAATCAAAAATAAATGTTTTCTATTTGAATATATTTTAAAATGTAATTTATTCCAGTGATGCAAAGCTGAATTTTCAGCATAATTACTCCAGGCTTCAGTGTCACATAATCATTCAGAAATCATTCTAATATGCTGATATGCTGCTGAAGAAACATTTCTTATTATTGTTATTTTCTTATTATTTTTTCAGGATTCTTTAATACATAGAAAGTTCAAAAGAACATTTATTTGAAAAACAAATATTTTGTAACATTAGAAATTTTTTTACTGTCACCTTTGAACAATTTTATGAATCCTTGCTAAGTAAAAGTAAAAAAAAAACATTTAAATGGTAGTAGTGTGTAGGTGTGGGGGGTGTCAGACTCCAAAAATGACAACAAACACTATAAAAGTATAGTCCATAAAGCATAAAAGTAGCACATTTGCCTTGCTATATTCTTCTGAAGCCATACAATTGTTTGCTAATTCCTGAAAACCTTCTCATTTGCATTTGCATACATTCAAATATGGTATCTCAAGACTCAGTGCACCAGAATTTGTCTTTATTCTTTTTTTTTTTTTTTTTACATTTATTGATCTATTTATATTATATTTTACAGGTGAGGGTAAGAAAATGATGACAGAATGTTCAGTTTTAGGTCAACTATTGCAGTAAAAGGGAAGAAAAAGGAAAAAGTGAGCTGCATACCTGTGGCGGAAAAACACTCTAGAGTCTGTTCTTGGAATCCTGGGCCACACGATCCATTTTGAGGAACACAGGGCCCCTGTGATGTTACTCTCCACATGAAGCAGACAGGGTCATCGCAGATCATCGCTTCGCTGATGTGAGGGCAACTGTCGGACTCCACCCAAGACTCCATAATTACAGAACGAGTTCTCATCCTGAAACCTGAAAATGGTGTACATATGCAAAAAACAAAAAACAAAACAAAACAAAGGAAAAGAGTCAGCGATGACAAACAGAAACATGCTCATTGCCAACATTTTAGCAGACACTGTTCCCACACTCTGGAAAAATTAGCAGTGCAGCAGTCATATATCTTGGCCTAACATATGTGCACATTAAGGAAGAGGAGAGAAGAAATAGAAAATGGAATATAAAGAAAATGGCTTTAGAGTGAGTCTAAATAGAGGAATACAGCTGTCCCGTCACTGTCACCTCACTGAGTGGGCGGCACCTCAGCTTAGGGTCAGAAATATGCTCACCTCGATTTTCGCACATTATTTACATTACTGAGAGGAGAAACCAAGGACAGGGGGGGGAGGTGTATCTAAGTGTGTGTGATTTAGACTTGGATGTGTGTCGATGGGATGCTTTCGTCTCTCACCTCTTCTTCCCTGAGGTTCCAAACAGTTGTCATGGAGACAGGGTCCCCAGGGTGACCAAGGCGTGAGGGGACAATGTTTCTGACAGGGAATGAAGCAAGACTCAGCCAATGGCGGTAAAGGCCCGGTGCACAAGTTCCTGCCAACAGGCCGACTGACTAATAATGAAAAAACAGAGAGAGACAGTTTCAGATTTATCACAAAAAGTCAGTTGGAGATATTTTTTAAAACTGTATGAAATGCATTTTTAAAGATCTAACAGAAGCTTGCACAAAAATAAATGCAATTCAAATCCGTCCTTCCCACTGTGTGGCCACAGATTACCATTTAAATAAAAAAACAGGAAAGCAGAGGAAACTAAATCTCCCCCTTAGCGTTCTGCCCTGAGTCTCAACAGCCTATGAAAGATTAAATAAAATGAAAGCAATCTAGAAAGTCTTTTTTTCCGTTTAAACGTTAATGTTTAAAAAATTGACTCTCATTTGCGTTAATCACATTTGCTTATTGCACTGTGAGATGGACACATTATTAGTGCTCTGATTCAAAACCAAAAAGTCTTCCAAGGCATCATCCTCACTGAAATGGAAATCTCAGAAATGACTTGGATCGTGCTTCATAGGCAGCAATTTTACGCTCTTCATATGAAGTGCATGCGAGACTAACAGTGTAATGTTAGCAAGCTGCTAAGCTAACGGCACAATACTCCAATAAGCATACAAATATATAATACACACAAATACTCAGAAAGATTTTGCAATTAGATTAAAACCTTTTTATCAATGCATTTTAATAGTGAATGATGCATAAGGCTAAACAACTTCACTCGACTTTGTTTGCCATCTTGGATAACATTTTTTAACTGGGCTTATTCCAATACATACTAAAATCGCCTTCTCTATGAGAGATACAATACCATTAAACGTTTGGTGTCTGTAAGTTTTTTGAATGTTTTTGCTCTTTAAGGCTGCATTTGTTTAACCCTCTGAGGTCAGCGAACGAAAATACAGTAAAAACTGAAATATTGTGAAATATTACAATTTAAAATAAATGTGTTCTAAGTTAATATATTTTAAAATGTAATTTATTCTTGTGATGGCAAAGCTGAGTTTTCAGCTGCCATTACTCCAGTCTTCAGTGTCACATAATCCTTCAGAAACCATTCTAATATGCTCATTTGCTCCTCAAAAAACATTTCTTATTATCTATGTTGAAAACAGTTGTGCTGCTTAATATTTTTGTGGAAAGTGTCATGTTTTTCAGGATTCTGTGATTAATAAAAAGAAAAAAAAACATTTATTTAAAATATTTTTACTGCCAATTTTGATCAATTGAATGTGTCCTTGCTGAAAAAAAAAAAAAAGATGAATTAGCTGATAGCCCATCCCTGGGTAATACCATGGTATTTTGATATTCACCAAGTACCGACTGATTATCATTCTCACATAAAATGATTTCAAATAACACTGTGATACTGTCATACAAAAAGAAATTAAATCATACTTCTAAGTTAATAATCCACAGTTAACTATCGAAAACAGTGTTCTTACTATGGGACAGTACTGTACTGTCATGGATCCTGACACAATATGCCTCTCGGGTCCGGATCCCACCTCCACACAGGATGCTGGTATTGCTATGGTGATGGTCCTGCTGACTCAAAAGTGAAGTCACCTGGCATGCTTTCCAATTGGTCACCCTCCACTCATACCTGTATTTCCAGCCAATTAAAATACATTCATTTCAAGTCAAATTAAAGAGTCATATCTGTTGAGCCTTTTTAAAGTCACAATAAGACTGAAGTAACATATCTTTTCTTCTGTATTGTGACGTACGTCCAAGTTAAACAGATTATCGAGAAGAAAAAAAAATGTAGGGTGACATCTGATTAAAAGTTATATGGTCAATTTTTTTAAAGAAATGAAACATATGCATGGAGGAATCATTCACAATAAAATCAATAACATGCATTAATGGGGAATTTTAGTTTTATGTTGAGTTTAAAGGGGACATCGGGTGCAAAATTCACTTTTACATGGTGTTTGCATATAAATGTGTCTTAGCAGTGTGTGGACACAATTACCCTACAATGATAAAAATCAATTCACTCCTTTTAATTTTATTCCTCAGAAAAGCTAAACAGTCTCAATTATCAAGCCGTTTTGATTTTCTGAGCAGTATGATGTCATATTGCTCAGGCCCCACCCATGACAGCTGACGGACTGTCCCGTATTAGCATATTTCTGCCCTCAGCCAGGTGTACGCTGTCCGCCATTTTCTCCGTGCTTGAACAAGCTGTAGTGACAAATGTCTCGTAAGCAATGCAGGTGTTTTGTAGTTGGATGTAAAAGTGAACATTAGATTCTTAATTTTCTCCTAACATCAGAGCCACTGAGGACGCAGTGGATTAGTTTTGTTTTTGATGGTAACGTGTCACTGAATACACAAAAACGGAAGAGAGGGGTGGGGTCAGCAGTAGCTCATTATCATTTAAAGAGACATGCACCAAAACGGTTCGCTGTGAACAGGGCTGTTTTTTGACTAGGTAAAAAGGTGTTGTTTCACATGACCACTGAGGAATTTTAACCAAAGTATGTTGCAGACATTTTATGGAGACCTTAAAGTATCATGTCAACTTGTGGAAAATGGGCATCCGATGTCCCCTTTAAGACCTAATGCATTTAGAACAGATTAAAACATTTAAAAAGATTTGGATGCACAATTCTGGCAATGCAGTCTCTTCACCTTGGGCACAGTGGCAGTGTGTCTTCCAAACCATTACAGTTAGCTTTTTCCTCCAGGGCGGGGCATGGCTCTCCTCCACCAATGGCTGCTCTCTTTAGCCTGCGACTCCTGAATCTGAAGCCAGGTGATTGATCAGATGTCTGACACGTCTTTGAACACAGACTCCACTGCGACCAATCAGACACTCTACAGTCTCTGGGCATCACACATGAACGAAAGTTCACGGGGCTGTTGTCATGATCGCAAAGGCTGGAGATGAGAAGGACATTTACAGTGTCATCTTTTTACCACATTTTTATGACATTGTAAAGTGAAGAACTGTACTGCTGTAAAAAGGATGATTTATATTTTGTGGCCCTTTGCTACCTACCCACACACACATACACCTGTATACATAAAAAAATCAACAGATTGCAATTCTAAAAATTGCGCAAACAGTTACTGTTTAGTTATTTTCAAAGGATTTCATGTTTATGTATTGCCTTATCTGAAGCTGCTGGCATGCATTTAGCCTCTGGCTAGCATGACAAAAAAAGGTAGCAACATAAACAGAAAATTTTTCAAGCTGTCTCTCAAACTCTCCAAGGCTTTAGTGTTGATGCTGATTCTCTGTGCATATATTGGCATACAAAACAAGCTAAAGCAAACTATGAAATCCTGTGAGAGAGAGAGAGAGAGAGAGAGAGAGAGAGAGAGAGAGAGAGAGAGAGGGGGGGGGGGGGCGGTGCGTGTTGAA